CCGTTTAGTCTATGGTTGGATGTTTGCAAAATAATTCTGTGAACGACACTACCTCTCCCGCTATTCGGACTACGAGGAACGCGAGCGACGTTTTCAAGGACAGCTATCGATCACTGCTTACAATATCCACAATAGACAATAAATTTTAACATCAGGAAAACGACATAAAAATGCTATAGTCTGACTTGGTTCATACAGAACACCTCAAAATAAGAAAGAACACCGCTATCCAGTCACAGTCGGTTAGCCGGTAGGAAGAAGCAAACAGTCTGTATCCGAAAAAACTTGATATCTTTTAATCCGTTTCGGTGAAAAGGTAGTGTTTTTCCATTTTGTACGCCGAGTTTCTCTGAGTTTGAAGAGGAAATAGAGCACGTAAGAGAAAAAATGCAGCAATTGGAGGCTTACTCGCGTACCCCGAAAGAGAACTGTTTCAAAAAACTGCTTTGAGGCTCCCACAATTGCTGTAACGATTGAGGACAAGTTCTTGTGCCACGAGCTTTATTCTGTTCTGCATCCGCCTCCCTTGTGGTAGTGGTCTTCATATAGCAGCATCCCACGGTTACCACTGCACGAGCACAATCCATTTCAGTGAATAAGCGCAGAATAGTGGTGGACAAATCGCCGCATGTATGCAGTCCATTGAGTAAAACGGGCGGTGGACTGTCAGCAGGTCGATCCTGATCGCACACTCTATAAAATCCGAAACCGGAAAGAGAGAGAAAGAGTGATTCAAATGCCATAAGAGTCAGACAGATAATCCCACGCACTACATTATTGAACATTATTAGTTTATACTTACGGATGCAGTCATTGGTTTTTAATCACGTATGATGCAGCCAATACTTGCAAGTTGCTGAGGCAGATGTACCCAGAAAATCACATCGATATGTGTGCTGTAGTAAGCACATAGAGGTATGCATGGAGTAGACAGGGAGACAGCATGTGTGTGTAGGTTTGTGAACCAGAGCAAAGTTCGAGTAACCCAAAAAAGGAAAATTTCGTGTTATGCTATTTCACACACGATAATTTTTATGTCTTCGAATTAATGATTGAACTGTGCACCACAGTGATACCAAGTAGTTCCAAGAGCACAAGAAATCGCCTAACTACCCTCTCTCTCTCTCTCGATTATTCCAGTTTTCCACAGGTATAACGAAAGCATGTCGAGTTCAAAAGTACCAATCTGCTTCTAATCCCGTTCACTAGCTACAGTAAAGTAAACGCTTAAACACATTATGTGTATTGGTTGTAGTCGGAAATTTAGAAGTTCCACAATCTGTGGTGATATTACCACCAAAAGATAACAGTAAACCTGGTTTCACTAAATTGGAATGCACTGTAGTTTTATTTCGTCTATATTAGGCAGTATGGATTCAATGAGGATGGACCGAAAATAGGTGGAATTGCTTTTGGAATATACTCATCGTAAGAAATCCACGTAAATGAGATCACACCGACTCACCAAATGCATCGATGTAAACGAGTTTGTTCGTTATTATGGACGTTCTCTTTACAAGATGTAGTAAAGTGACTACAAAATAAACCCTCTTCTTTCATCCTCCGTGCCAAGCTGTTTACTCCTATTTTCAAAACGTAGAATTGGGATTGTGAACTTAACTCGATATATCACCCTTTTGTCCACCGAGTTCTACGTTAGGTTTCAGCTAAGCTGTTCTGTCTTAATAATAATCACCTTAGTAGACCCAATCCTTTTCGGTTCTCACAGAGAAAGAGAAACGTATTTTCCGTTCCTCGTGAAGGTTTGTTTTCAATCATAATTTTCTCCTCGAAACCGGTATCCCATTTGGGATATGCCTTTTGAAATTCCATGTGTAATATTTCATTATATTTTCATAGTAAAGAAAAAACTAAAAGGGTAAATTGTGCTGCAGTTTTAACAACCGTATAAACTGTTGCAGCTCATTAGGTTGATCAAGGATACGGATGAATGTGATAAAATCTAATCCAACTAGTGGTATCGCAGGGATACGTTCACGTGTACTGTCCGGCTTCTTCAAACGATTGAATTATAAGGGTTAGCGGAGAGACAGAACCACTGACAGAGAGATGAAACGAAAGTTCGAGCACGAAATAAAGATATTTGACTCAGTCGTTTGATGGGCCAAACGGAACAGGGTCGTGCTAGCCAAATTGTCACATCACAGTCAGTAATGCGTAGGATGCTATAAGAGATGACAACAATTAGTAGTGACGTATTAAGCAAAGTGTCTTCATGTGCAATCCGCAAACTAAGCCACAACTATGCATCATCCACCCCGTCTGACATCCAATCGAGCATGTGACTGCCAGGCGGTGAATCACCTCCAAAATACTGCACGCGTCAAATGAACGACACAGCTTTCCCGACCCTGATCACTTAACTGACTTTTTGACAGTACGGCGCGCTCAGCCACAATGTAGTGCTTTGCAACCTCGAAGTCAACACATGCACATTGTTGAAGTGGTAAGTATAGCATCGCGCAACGTCAAAGCTTTCGTCACTCCCACGCCATTGCACCAAAAACAGAATTTAAAAAAGTGTTGTTCTGAAAAAATCACATCGGGTTCAGGAGGAACTCAGCCTTCGATAATTGAAACGACAAGTAAGTAGCTCAAGTCGTAAATTTTGATTTGCCGGTTGTCACGAAACCACGTGTATAAGTGCAGAATGAGAAAAGCTTGACATAAAGCCGAAATCGGCAATGAACATATTCAAGAAAAGATTTGTATAACGGATTCAATCATTTTGTTTTATCGTGTAATTGCATAAACTGACTTCAATCAGGATATTATTCGCATAGTCTGCTGAGCAAAATACATAAGTAATCTCGCAAAACAGTAAAATGTATCCAAATGGAAGTTGCCACATCTTGGATTTCATCAGTCTTCAGACAACGACCATGAATAATCCCGTTGGAGAAATATCATATATACTGAACAAAATTCAAGCAAACTCTACAAAATCCGGGGAAAAATGATTTCATTATGTAATGCAACCACATCGCTCGGAGTCAAGATATCGCTCGCCGAGGAGAGTTTACAAAGAAGTCTCAACCTCTGATGTTTTTAGGAATCATCAGCACAGCATGCTCAACGGACAAGTAAAGTTTTCACTTCATCTCATCGAGCGTACATTTCCGCATTCCATAGTGCTCACGGTTGGAATTTTTATTCAAATCATAGGGTGTCTTAGAATGTTCCGTGAGACACAACATAGTCCACGGTGTGTCCAAATGGATGGTGTAAAAATATCAGCCCTGTTTCCATGGGGAAAATCGGGGTAAAACAACAAACAGAACCGTGTCCGAGAAATGATGAGAAGTATTGGAAACAATATATCAAACACACCAATGCCCTATTCCAGTACAAATTTGATTTAAACTTCAAACAAATATTAACCGAACAACTTGGTGGCGAGTCAGTAAAACCGTTCTGTACGGCTGTTGATTTTACTAACACAGAATTTGAGGACAGAACTAGGGATTATATAAATCACTTTTTCGAAACGGCTCTACTTTCAGTCGCGCACCATACATGTTTACTTTCTGTTCGCATTTCGGAATTGGTGATTCGCCAAAATTTATCGATGCAGTCAGTTGAATGTTTATTGCAGTTGTGACAACAATATCATTATTTTGGCACGGTGGATTTTTCTCAGTGTCTCTTTCTTTTATGTGGTTACGTTTCTTTCCACGAGGACTGATCTTATCTAATTCTCCAGGATCGAGAAACACTGCGGTGATTCAAATGGACGGCATATATTTAACCGTGAATATTGTGCATAACACTTTGCAATCGTGCAACTCTCCTACCGCTATTTAGACAAATTTCATTTCCGCGGCTTCCCTGACGTCCAATGACTGAATGCTGCGACGGCGGCTGATTTATTCGTAAATAAAAAAGCTAAGAAGAGGTAAAATAACTATTGATCAAATTCCTCCTAGCTTCATTAATACCGTTTCACTGACTCTCCGAATCGGTCACAATTCATTCACTTTCTTCATCTCTGCACAGTATTCGTATGCCTCAAAGGAAATAGCTTACCATTACTTACATTCGCTTTTGTCATTCATGCTCCTCGATAGTCATCACGTTACATGACTGCAATCATAAAGGTTTTGCATGCATGCTTCCTTTTACAAACATTTTCCAGATGGTGTTTCTCCGGAGCTAATACTTGTGAAAACAGAGGAGCTCACCGATTATTCACAGGGAACCTTGAATGCAAACACGGCTGATAATGGCCAACTCAACGGCCTTCGAGAAATCATCATAAGCGCTTTCATGCACTGCTTGCATCAGTTCACTTTTCGGACTTTATAAGAGAAAACCTTCAATTTTTGTTGACTTAATGACTAAAAACAAACTTAAGTTAACACTGTCATTTCTTCTCCGTTTTATGGCACACTGAAAACCTACGTCCATTTTTAACCACTTAGGAAGACTATAAACCAGTTTAGCAGCCAAAATAAAGTAAACAAAACGTTTTTATCAGGATACGATGCACAGAATCGAGTGTCCTTCAATAACTATTAAAACACATTTTTGCATCATGTTGAATATTCATTCAAATATGTGTTTCCATAGATTAGAACGAGATGGTCTAAAATTCATTGCCGAAAAGCTTTTGATCAAATATTTTTGGTTGATAGCTCCAGCTTTTCATTCAACGTCTCAGTGCATAATTCCTACAAGATATGTTGTCATGTCCAAAACACTTACAGATACAGTATCCACGAGTGCCACCCTAATTTTTGTTTTGAACAAAAGGAAAAGGATCTCAGGCTAACCTGATCACAGATATCGATTTTTAGTCGACACCAAAAGTGTTTGACTCAACAACGCGATAAAAATTGATAGCAACTGAACTCGACACAACGGAATGTCGGTTGAGCGTGATCACTCGCCGTGACGGCCAACAAACCCAATAACAACTTCCCGACTTTGACAAAATATTGAAAATCGGTTCTCGTAGCTCGGGTGAACTGAATTATATTTCACCTGTTCGCCAAGCTTGGCAATTTGTTTGTAAACGTTTCGTAACCAGCCGAGGTGATATCATCGGCATTGATGATGTCACCTCAGCTGATGCTGTAACGTTTGCAAACAAATTGCCAAGCTCGGCGAACAGGCGGAATAGAACTTCCCGTCGTATTATCATTCTATATCCATTCCCTACAGACTTTTGGTTCCAGTAAAAAAATGGGCGGTTTTTAGATATCTAGCCTTCACCTTCAACTTATGGTGGTAATGTCCAGAAAGCGAAAAGTGATCAAGTACCCATTGGGCACTTTGCATATATTTTGCATTCATAATCATACTACTATGAGTAGCTATATAATATTCAAAAATAGATTTCAGAAACCATGTATTTTGCTTGTCATGCTAAGGCCCTCTGTAAACACTGTATTTTTTGCAGTGTGCACCATGTTGAAATGCTGCGAAACCGACCTCACCACTAATCGTGAATTAGCGCAATATGATTATTTCTTTTGAAATTAATCTCAGGAAAGGCTTGCCTAGAACTCCGTCGTAGAAAGGAGCGTGTCTTCAAAATGAATAAGCGCGACGAGGTGTATTTTCTTCTAAATCCATTAGGGTGTAACTTCGTAGGCTAAACGCTTTGTACGCTCGTGCTCAGCTTGACAATGGAGATAGTCGTGAGACCCGGCAGGCCCAAATGTGAGCTTTTGGCATCAAATTCTCACACCGCGCAACTGCTGCTGTGGCATTAACAATGGAACCTCTCTCACTGCTTTACCTAATGGATATGAAATCAAAATGACCGATCCTGTTGCCAGTACTCCACCTGCAGAAATTTATGAAGAACTGACCCGATTAAATCCTTGCAAATCTAGCGGCCCTGATGGAGTCTCATCTGTTGTCTTAAAGGAATGTGCTGCCTTCCTTTCCCCTGCACTGCGTGAACTTCTCAATGATTGTACTTCGCAGCAGCGTACTCCCAACTGATGGAGAGCAGCGTCAGTTATCCCAGTACTGAGAAAAGGCTTCTCGGAATTTCCGCCCATCGCCTACACCTCAATTGTTTTGATGGTGTTTAAGAGGCTCCTCATTAAGACCCTGTCCACACAGTTCAATGTTGGTGACCCAAACCAGTTTGCATTCACCAATCCCGCGGTACCTTGGATACCCTTGCTTATCTCTCCCACTCTATTTTATCCAACCTGGACCGGAAAAGTCATAATTTCAAACCATTCTACAAGAAGACATATCAGAAAAAGTTGAGCGGTCTCAACAATGAAACATCCGCATGAAACCCAAAAATTTAATGACGATTTTTTTTCCTTTTTGAAAGATCATAAGTAGGGTGAAGTATCAAACGCCAGCCCACCATTATTTATCCTCAGTGACCAGATGGATCGACAACCGTCTGTTCAGTACCTTGGCGTTATTATCAACCGTAACCTCAACTGCAATTACCACGCCAATGACTTTTTTCTGAAGGTCAGATGGCATACGTTTTATTTTTTAAGTCTTAACTCATTTTCTATCCTAAAACATCTCATAAGACGTTTGTTTTTGCTTGCATTTTGCCTCTCTGGTTTTATGGGTGCTGTTATCTTTCCCGGTCATTATTATTCGTGGGTAAGAAAACGTTAAGCCCCCCAAAACGTCCGAATGGCCCTTCTATCCATGAGTTTTGGGGCGGTTTGGAGTGTACTACGATATGCTGTGCCGTAGATCGATATCAATAACATCGTATGCATATGTATTTCGCAGGTGTCTGGTTTCAGACTGCGCACAAAAAACAGGATACGATTATTTTTATAAAATAAGTAAAAAGTTCATGATTTGCCAGTGAACGGAATACCGTCAAATTGTCCAGACCAAAACACGTAAATTTTCCCAAGATTTCGCAACTGAAACTCCACCAGCTAGCCAGATATCGACCCACAAGGTGGTGGCACGGTCTTTGGCAACCACTATCAATTGGAGGCCAATGTCTACCTCATTGGATCATGCGTTATACACCACATCATTCATTTGATCGACATTTCAAATGATTCGGATTTACAAATCTTTGGGGATCACTGAGCGCAAAGACTGGGTACAGCCAGAGTACGAACACAAGGCTGATGAAACAAATGAGATCGTGGTAGACAAACGCTCAAACGCTAAAAACTCGGATTGGAAACCAAACAGGAGAGGCATATGAATAGCACCAACATCTTCCTGACTCAGCAAGTAATCACCAGCTTGATTTTGCGTCAAATTCAAATCATGTACCGTGATTTGTTTGGTACACATTCTGGCTTCATAGGTGTAGTGTGTATAATAGTAATTGGGCGTCGAGATGCACTGGACACTATGGACTTTTGACCCCGTTCAATGGAGTTCGGGTTCATACACCGCCCCGATGTCTTGTGAAGAAGACTTTGGCTTGTCAAAATCCCCGATTA